GGCATTTCAAGGATGACTATGTTATCTGGGAATGTAAAGCTTCTGAATGGAAAAATGTTCACAGTGGTCAAAGGATGACAGTAAGAACTGAGTAATCTTTTCATACAAGGTTAGATTTAGTTGTTCCCTTTCTATTGCAAGGTTTCTTTTCAGTATTCAGAAATGGTTTCAGGGTTAGCACTCGCTTTTCTTCATCTATCATCTGCCTGGGGGTCCACACTGCATTTCCTTGAGCGCTCTGGTTCCTGGGAAAGTCTGAGGCAATATGCCCCGGGGAACGCTGCCTCCAGGGCAGCGCCATGGTCCCAGCAGAGTAATTATACTTGTTCTGAATAAACCTCCTTACAAAACAGAAAATCCAGTTTACTCTTTCCTTGTGTCATAAGGGACTAACATTGCCTTTAACTGATGGTGTTTTCATGGCAATTTATCATACAGTTAACTTTGTGATCTCAGCCTAAATCATGTGGGGTTTTTTTTTGTTTTGATTTGTTTTGTTTGGTTTGGTTTGGTTGTTTTTTTCTTTTTTGCCTAGTGCTTAGTGGTTATGGTGATTTGATTTATAAAACCCCCTCAAGTGATTATACCTTTCAAATGGACCAACAACGGTGATTTGTTAAAAGACTGCCTTTGGAAAGGTGTTCTGAATGTCACCTACAGCCACTGATGCTTCATCAAATATACCAACTCTCTTTTTGCTTTTTATCATGAATCTCTACGGATAACTTGAAGTTACGTCTCAACTGAATGCTTTTAGTCATTTTATTTCTAGCACAGACTGTTTGGCCTGAAATATGGGCAGAGTGCCTGACTTATTTCTATGGCCGAAGCCACAATATCTGCTGCCAAATTTAGTCAAATGCAGTGTAGATTAAAAGGGGTTTAATGCTTCCAAGTATATTAAATAGAAAAGTTCCTGTTACTCAAGAAGTTAGCAAACTTTCTTTAGATTTCTTGTATGTTTCTGAACAGCCGAATTATGACTTCTCTCAAGCTGGGATCATCCTTTTGATCACTCTGCAGTATTGCCACAACACCTAATACTCTGGTCCTCAACAGCGCTCCCCAGCTGGTATCACACAGCATATAAGAGATATTAATGTGGCTTACAGAACATGTCACTTTGGACCATTTCAGTACTGAATTCAGCACGGATAGGGGATCCTGTATATTTGAGGAGGGAAGTGGTCATTTGTCGGTTAAGGTATCAATTGTAGTTCATACGCTAGGAGAAAGTAACTGGGGCAGGCAGAAATGGGAAGAGGGCTTTCTGCATAATGATGACAATAGTTCTTGCAAAAAAAAATGGATGTGCTACACTTTTTTTTTTTTTTGTGCCTGAGTGCCAAATCAATACATGTTATGCTGCTATGCTGCCCACTCCCTTCTTCTGAATAATTTGTACCTGAATTTAATCATTTAACCTAGTCCAGTACGAAGCAGCACCAAATCACTTGGTGGGTTCTCCATTTATCTAATAATATGCTTACTTACAGGAAAAAAACAGTGGAGCTGACTGCACATGTTTATGTTGAAGTAGGGCAAATATCTGAACAGTCAATATCGTGATTAGAATGTTAGTCTGAAATACCGAGATAATTTATTATTAGAAGAAGATTTTTTGACCATATTTATCATTTTTGATGATAATCATTATTTAACAGATATTGACAGATTGTATATCATGATGTACAAATAGGGATTTTTCATATATTAGAAAAATAAAATAAAATTACTGCCAAGGCCAAGAATTGAGCAAGGCACAGAAAGATATTACTTCTGGTAACAGGAACATCCACAGAAAAAAAAAAATTAATAAAAAAATGTTGAAAGTGACATTAAATTTCCTTCTCCAGACCTTAATTATCAGAGGCCCAAGACCAAACATGGTCCATAAACTGTGGATTATAGGGTTGCTTTTCTACTTTAACGTGCCCCTAATCTATTATTTAGTCATCATATCAAATGCATCTGAGTGAAGCCTCAATATCATTATTCACATAAGTTATCCCATTAGCTTCACTGGAACCACTTGAATGATTAAAGCAAATAAATCGACTTTGGTCTTAAAATTTGCCTCACAGATTCACGCTTCCATCCTCTTACCTGATTTTGTTACAGTTTCCAATTAGTCCCAGATTTCTGTGCCTCTGAAACTGTTGTTCCAGATATGAACTCATTAACTGCTTAGAGATAGATTTTTATTTCCCTGCTCAATATTTGATCTCTGTGACTGTAGCTTAGAAATTAATCGGATTTCTTTCTGCCGTGTTTCATTGTAAATATGAATCCTATTGCCCATGAACTTTAAATCTTTCTCCTGGTTTCCTCTCCAGTTGAATACATGTGTTTTTTTTTTTTTTAATCCTATTTATTGCTGATGAGCAAATGCTGTCCAAAATACTACAGTAACAGTAAGACTTCATGGCTGTAAGGCACGTCACCCCACTGAATCAATCTGAGTTTTACAGGAGAAAATTATAAATCCTAAAACAATAAAATGATCAAGTAACTGTTTCAGTTCTGCCACAAGGAGCTTTTTGTTTTGTTTTAGAAATTTAAATAAAAATTAAATTAGCTATGAAAGGTTGTCATATTTAACATTTATGTTCAATAGGTAGAACACCGATCTGCTACCAGAATAGTAGAGATATACTTGCTTATGATGTTTCATTGTCACATTTACCGTATGTTTCATTATTCACTGATATTCTTTTGGATGAAGACAGTTGGTGAAAAATAATAAAATAGTCATAACAGTGATAACCTGCTTGGTGTTATAGATAAAAATAGCTTCCTTATCTGGATTTCACTCACACTATTTCTCTGTTTCAGGTGTTTCCCAGCACTTTGATCACTTGCATATACATTTGCCAGGGTTGGAGGCCATAGTATTATGGCAGTTCCCTCAGTGGAAGCATTAATTTGAGCCTTGCTTAAGCTTGTGAGACACTGTCATAATTTCCAAGCATTACAATCTCTCTTCTTTCATGAGCTTTCTGTATTCCCTGAAGCATCTGAAAAATAGTGGGTTTTCCTTTCGATTTAACTACTGGTTACCTAACTGACAGGAGATAAGACTGGTGATAGGACAACAGAACTGCACTTAAATATCCACAGTCTCAGAAGCTGAAGAGCAGGTTTTCACTGTTAGAAACTGTTAGAGCAATTTAATTCAGAGACAAGGCTCTTAAAATCTCTGCCAGAATTTGAGCTGCAGCTGTAGTAGTTCAAAATGTGGTTCACATGAAAGTTTTCACTAGCTGTGCCTCGGTCTCCTTTATTTATGATCACCATTTTATTTATGATCATCAAAAATCAGAATGTAAGAATGGTTTCCTCTAGACTCAATTTCCTCATATGATAACCTAGTGATTCATGCTCAGAAGAAATTCTAGTTAATGGCAGATTCCTAAAACTGTCTTTTCACTCCAGAGAGCTTTCTCCAGAGAGCTGCAACATAGCCGTGTATTAAAAAGAACGGCTGGGAGAGCGCTCTTGATTTCATTGCTTCTCAGCTGCTGTCTGTATAATGAGAAGGGGAATACTTGAAGAATGTCTTGTTCTCAAGTAACCCAAATTCCAAGGTTATCTGAGTCACCATGGTGGTGTCCAGTACATTTAGCAAGACCTGAAAAATGACTTTTTTATTAAAAAGATTCACTGGTTTGGTCTGTGCGTGTATGTATTACTCCAGTTTGCCATTATTAGTATAGGGGAAGATAATAATTTCCTTCATGTTGGTACAGTTTTATGAGAAATGAGTTGGTCTTGATTTTCCTGTACAGAAATATGGAAAGCTGTGTTATGAAGCACTTCTGTACCAGTCTCTGCTTTTATGAATTATATGATTATATCTGCTTTGAGCAAAAAATTCTCCCATAACAGAAATGCTTTTAACAAAACAGTATAGTGGTGTTGTTAGGCTATTTGATAATTTAGCTCTATGATAATAATCACTAAATAAATAGTTTTCAGTCTCTATGGAAGAAAGATTCTGCCTCCTAAAATTTTGTAAGAAAGCAGTATTGTATAGAGCTTCCTTGGCAGCTTTAGCAAGGCTTTTGCTGCAAGACAGAATCAAGTCAAACCAACCTCAAACCTGCTGTGCTCGTCAGACTAAAATTCTTAGTTCCGCTCATTCATGTCTAGTTCTTTCAGTGTTTCAGACCCATTTTTATGTCTGCATTTTTAATGATCCTTTGCCTTTCAGTATATCAGCTTTTCATGTGTGTTCTAAGGATTTAAAACTTACTGAAGGGTAATAGATAAAATGTCACTATATTTGGTATTAATTGTAGCCTTGTGTGTGTTGTCCAAGTACTTAGTAGTTTTATATATTATAAATATATCCATGCCTGGATATTTAGCATATCATGAATATTTTACAAACATATTTCTACATTTTGTGAAAGTAGCCAAGCTTGTCTAATTGCTGTAGTAGACCTGGAAGTATTTTTAAAGGTTAAAGCGTGACACACTGTTAAGTAGAGGTTTTCTGAAGAATGCTTTGTTCCAATACATTGATGTTACTTTCTTAATGCACTGTATCAATACAAGGTGCACAGTTCAAATGACTACAAGAGAAGGAAGAAAAATCATCCTTTATTTCTCTTATCAGCTTTATCCTATGCTGAAGCAACCTCAGAGGCACCAGTGTGTGTGTACAAATCCAGTATCCCTCCCGGGTCTCAGACATACACAGGCAAATCCTTGCTCACACGTTCCTTTCCATCTTCATCATAATCAGGGCCTCCCATTTTAGCACACATTAGGAGCATATTCAACCGTTGCTTCCAGGTTGAAATGAAACGTTACTATGGATACCCATTTAAGTATGAGAGAGGATTTTGCACTAATGGTGAGGTTCACTAAGAATGCTACATTGCATCGCCTTCATTTTTAACGAGCTTGGTCTCAGTGTCGCAGTGGTTTCTCTTGTGATGTTTCACTCAGATTAATCGTGGTTTCTCTTTCTCATACTTTCCTGCTTTCCCTAGCTGCAACTTTCACAAGTTACAAAAAAACACCGCCTCCGGTACCTCCTCGTACCACTTCCAAGCCACTAATCTCCGTCACAGCACAGAGCAGCACAGAATCCACCCAGGACGCCTATCACGATAGCCGGACTCAGAGGATTTCCCCGTGGCCTCAGGATGGGCGAGGGATGTACAACTCCACAGACAGTTTGGACAGTAACAAGGCCATGAATCTTGCCTTGGAGACTGCGGCTGCGCAGCGCCATGCTTCTGAGAGCCAGGGAGCCTCGATACGAACCAGCGACAAGGCCATTTTGGTGTCAAAAGCTGAGGAGTTCCTTAAGAGTCGACGTTCCTCTATAGGGATTCAGGTAGCCTATCATTAACATCTGTTCTGTGATGAATTGCTTGCCTTCTTTCTGTAAATAGCGTAGAATGAGTCATTCAGCTTCACTGGTTCTAATAATCTAACAAACAACCCCTGGCTGCTTAGCGTTAATTGTAATTCACATCATGGCGATGTGGCTGTGCAGAAAAGTCTTCAGCTAATATGCTGTACCTGGAAGAAAATGAATGAATAAATCTCTAGGGAGGTTACCTGTCATTAACACTTGATATGAAAATTATACTGCCGAGCTACAGGTGAACAGCATGTTCATCTCCTTCTCTCCATGAATTCACAGTCCTTTTTATAGAATTATGCAGCTTTAAAATGCTTGACTATTTTTTTCCATTATCCTTCTCTTCTGACCTTGGAAAACATGTAGCAATGCTGGATCCTTGATACTTATTCCATTTAAAAATCTAATCCTCCACTTTACTAATAGACATTATGTTGGAGAGAAGAAGGTACCAAGAAGGAAACTTGCTGGTGTAGATAAACCACAATTATCAGTGTCTAATAATTAAATAATGTTAATAAGCACAGTCTTCGAATACTTCTCCATTTCTACAGCAAAAATATAATAATTATTTCAGCTGACAAAATGACCATCAGACTGTGGAAAACTCTGTCATGTCTCATTTCAGATGGATAACATAGGATAATTCCAGGTGCTGTTTTGAATGATGTACATTCTACTAAATGGAAAGCATTAGATAGCAATGGCCATTTATTTTAATCTCTAAGAAGTACCAAGTATTAATAGAATTAGCAAGTTGAACTTGCAAATAATGCAAGGTCCTTTGAGACAGAGGAGCAGATTAAAATTTAGGCTCTTCTCTTGCTCATATTTAGACACGAGTTTACTTTTGAGTAGGTGAATATCCCACTTTACATTGCTGGGTTCATTCCATTGCTTAAAAAATCCTCCTTTTGCCAGACCACCTATAGAAGAAATGCTATGTATATTTGCATAGTTACAGGTATTGCTGAGATAACAGTATATATCTTGAGAATAGTCTAGAGCAGTAATGATCTGTGTAATCAAGCTCAGTGAATGACTGTCCAACTCTTAGGATGTAACTGTACAAAAGTAATTTTTCTTGTCTTAAATAGTAGTAATTCCATTTCCACTAATTTCAAAATATGATCACAAGTTAATATAGGGTTAAAAATGTGACTGCTAATTATTGAACTTCACTGTCTAGGACCACAGTGTGATACATTTTTGCTATGATGCAATTACAGCATTAGACTTATGGAAAGACATAGGCTTTTTCAGCATGTTGCTTGCCTGGTTCTCAGCATAAATGTATTTGTGCTTCTTTACATACAGAAGAGCATGCAAATTAACAGCAATGGTAGAACATTCAGATCACTACTTTTCAAATGGTTTACGAAGTAATTAGAGTATCCTAAATTATTCAGAAAAGGGGCTTTACAGATAACTCTGAAAAGCTCAGAAGAGCAGCAAATAATTTTGGCAGCTTATAGCCCCAGCCCAAAACCTTCTCTTCAGAAAGGAACTGTAAGTAGTGCTGTTCTTATCTCTTCCTTACAGCAGCGGTGCACAATGGGACTTAGCAATGCTGATGTCTTGCTTCAGCCTGGGTATCTCAACAACTAATTCAGAAACTTTCATTATATCACTTGATGCTCCTCTTTGCTACAAGTGATGACCTGTACTTTTGACAGGGGCTTTGACCCCTCTTGCTATGTGGTGCATTTAATAATATGTGCTTATGATCCATAAAGACATCCGTACAATGACTTAACATGAACTCCTGTAGCAACTTATCATCTGATGCTTTTTTTTAACAGTAACTTTTAGAAGACGGAAGGAGATTTTTTTTTTTTTTGAGAAATACAAGATGTTTGGATGCACTGTTTGGTATAAGATAAGGTTCAAATTGGAAGATTACCCTTGATATACCCCTGATATCATACTTTCAATTTTTTATTTCCGTAGGAAGTTTCAAACTAAATACTCATGTGAAAAAATACTCATCTGCAGCATTTCTGAGCAGAAAAGAACATTGTTATATTCCAGTTGCCATGCTTCTATGGAATAATAACACAGGGTAGAATACATGTATTTGCAAACTACATAAATAGTAATTTATGCCCCCAAAATGCCACTGAAGTATTTCATTTCTTTTGCACTTCTGCATCAAAGCATCTTAGAAGAGGATGTTTTTTATTTGCATATTTCCTTGATTGACTAAATGACTTGTTTTCTCATTAGCATGCCGTGCCAGGGTGTTGCATTGAATTTGCATTAATTTACATTAATTAATTTGCTATCAGGATGGTTATTTGTGCATTTTTTAATGTTTCATTACTCTAACACATCGGTGTGAGAGTGATTGCTAATCACTCTATATAGTAGGAAGGAGGCAGAGAGATAAGGAAGGAGCAGCAATGCCTCTAGAGGCAGATAAAGCTGCCGTGGACCCAGCTGAGGACTCCGGTGTCTTTGTGATATATGGTCTGGGCAGCGCATATGCAATGAGCAGAAGTCTTCTTCAAAAGTTCTGGAGTAACACATGTGCCATATGACTGGTATTCACATACATAGGAAACCTAACCCTCGTGGGGAGCCTTGGACTTACTGTGCAATGTCTCACCCAGCCTGCAAAGATGGAGAAAAGCCCAGCTTTAGTAACCTACTTCATAATATTTTAGCCTCCCCAGCTGGTGCTTTTGCACCAAAAACACTTTCAGAAACAAAGCTTTCCCAAAATAAAGCTGCTGGACTTTTTTCCCCACTCCGGTATATAAATGAAGAAGAATATTCACAGACATGTCAGTAGGCATCAGATAATGATGATCCCAGAATTCAGGCAACCTACAAAATACTGGTTCTGGGATTAAAAAAACAGTCTGATTTCTTAAAAAAAAAAAAAAGTATACATCACAAAGAATAAAGTTCTAGTAATATTAGTAGCTATTAGTAGTTTTCATATCTGTCCTCTATCATGACAGCAGAAGAAAAAAATCAAAGCATTTGAATTAAAACGAAGGAGAATAGGTTCTCTTGAGTAGAATAAACTTTAAATCAAGGATGAGATTATTGTTGATAAGCTTCCAAGGATTCTTCTTTGCTGTTATGCATAACCTGGTTTATTTATTAATGATTATCATTCAAAACTAGCTCACTATAAGCCATTTCATATGAAAGACATTTCAACTGTAAAATATAACAGAAAACAATTCAAGAAAATTACTGCATTATTTATTTCAAGCAAAAAGTGCAGTCCTTTTTTTCTCCTCTATTTAGAAGACATCAAGGTTTCTCAAAATGAACAGAAACTCTGGAAGTAAGCAATACAGAAACAAATGTTTTAAGTGTGGAGTCTGACTCATGGTGGTATTTTTGGAGACAGACACTAATTGTAGCAGCATAGAGAATGGCCTCTGTCATCTTCATTATCATCAGGAGATCACTTTTTTTTTTTCCTCCCGGTTTTTCACTAAACAAATTGTTCTTGTAGATCAGAAGTTGTATTCAGGAGGATTAGTGCAATAACTTGCTAGCCTCTTTTTTCTTCCTTTTTCTTTTAATTGCTTTGTTTTGTTTTGTTTTGCAAAGTTATTATTAGCATTTTATGGTAAAAGCTTTGTTAAAGAATCTCCACAGCCTCAAACTTAGATTTCCTTTAAAGGCAAAGTATATTGCTCCCATGTAATGCACTTAGTTTGATGAGCCTGTAGATAGTTATTCTATCCCCATCAGTGCTTTACTGCAGCTTACACAGAGACCTCTGCAATTAAAAAAAGAAATTCCCTTTGAGTCCACTGATCTTGGGATCATAACGGATCCAAAGTTCTGGTGGTAGACTTTGATCATTCTCCTCCTAAAATCCTTATCAAACTATGTTTTTTCAGAGAGAAGTGGGTAGTATCCCTGGCCTGTGGAAGTCTGTGAAAGTTTTGGTAACACATCCATCAGTTTAGAAGCTATAAGTTGGCCTTAAAATTTAATGTTGAGCAACACAGGGTCAGAGTTCGCAGGGCTGCCAGTTATCAGAGTTCTCAGCCACTGGCTGCTTTTTGGCATCCTTCATTCGTTAAAAAAAAACTCAGTAGTTGAAATAGTAGCTAAAAGAAAGCTGTGGTTATTTCAGTGTTCTAAGCTTTTGCTCTTCTCACAAATTCCTATTGCTTTTTTTGTTAGATGCCAGTTGATATTATGAAATATTCAGACTGCCCCAAAACACTGCCTTGCGGAATATTTGCTGAATTGGTGCAGAATAATTTCCTATTTAACATTAAATGCACAAAAAAAAAAACAAGTTAGGCATTACCACTGTTGTGTGCAATGCTTTGTGTTATTATCTCATATAATGTAAGATGAATTTCAGGTCTAAACTCTGGCACTCACTCACTTTTAGCAAACAGCACTTTCTGGAGAGGGCTGTTGCAGTTTTCAGCCTGGTATGTAACATTCTTGCAGTAATTAGCACTCACTGTGCCACCCAGCATAACTGAGTAGTCTGTATGTTCTGTTGGGCAGCAGTAGAGTAGCAAAATGGCACCCTATAATCAGACACAGGTTTTGGTACAATTTTGGTCCATTTCTAAAAATTATTTTTAAATAATATAAGATTCCTGGCTGATAAAAGAATTCTTTTAGTTAAAACAGCGCAGTTAATATTTCAGTTTTACTTTATCTTTTTCTGCTTTGAAGTTACTGCATAGAAATGAGATCCTCCTTTACCTATGAAGAGTTATCTGTGTTCACAATTGCATTTACTTGGCCTAGTGTCAAATGTAGTATTTTCTTCCTTTTTCTACTCTTGTTATCACTGTGAAGCCTATCCAAGAGAGGAAAGGTAAATGATTTTCCTTCCTGTACATCAGAATGATGGTTTATTAAATTCTAATTATAGAACACGTTGGTTACAAGTATGAAAACCCACTGAAGGCGGTGAGGTTGCATGGGGAGAGATAATGTGGTCTGAAGGACTCTTGTTACTCATGATTAGG